CAGCCCTCTTTGTTTAACTAAAAGCTAGACGCGGAATAATAGATGCAGATATGAAAGACGAAAGAATTGTAAAGCAACACAAAGAAAGAGTTCAGATATGAATCCCGCAATGATTGATTAAAAGGCTAAGGTGCAGTAGGGCTTTAGCTTAGTTGAGAATGATCAGATGATATTTTTTCCTCAAAATTCTTGAAATAGGAAACTAATCAGATTGGATTTATATTTAAGAAGAGTGAACAACAAAGGCATAAGAAGCGGTTGTTTTTGGTGCTGCTTGCCCTTCACAATTTAAATACAATAGTTTTAAGAAAAGGTCATAAAGAAGAAGATAATACCTGATGGGTTAGGCGGAGTTGCTCGATAGATGCACCATGACTGGTGAACGGGCGCAAACTTGTCAAAATGCGTCCAAAATTGAATCTGGAATGTTTCTTCTTCGTACTGGCTCATTCGTGCACAATGGGTTTGGCTAATTCTGAGGGTCGACCGATGGGTTCCGGAAGCTGCTCACCGGAATCGATGCTTGACGGGCCGGTTTCTTGAACTTCTCCGGTCGCATAGGCCAACCCAGAGTCCGAGACCCAATTATAAGAAGAGGCTGTGGTGTTAATATTCCTTACCTTACGTCTTATTCAAGTGAATATGATGATCTTGCAAATATGTAACCTGTTTTACATTATGACAAGTCAAACAAAGCTAATACTTTGAAGATTTTTCAACTAAAAAAACCATTTGAACACAACACCCGATGGATATCCGGGAATGGGGGGTATCCAGCCCAACAGAAAGACGGCCCAGCCCAACTGTGTCAAGGCCCACTTAGCGGGACCAAGACAAGAGACCAGCGAAGAGCGCCTCGGCAATACCATGCACTCGGCCCCGGCAGGGTCGGTCATCCTCGGAGCGACCACGGCTGGCCTTCCATCCAGAGGTTTCCGAAGAGAGGTCAGCCGCTCGGCCTCGGCAATGAGCAGCGGCAGACCAGACATAGACAATGGAGCTGGCTAAAGTCAGGATCAAGGGGCCCACGATTAGACCCCTGCCATGCCTCTGGCAGAGTTGCTATAGCCACCCTACTTGTAACCTACTTTGTGTAGCAGTCCTAGGGTTAATTATGTGGTTGGACGCCGCCAGTGAACAACCCAATATTAGTGGGCCCAGACTGTTGGATTACGGACCAACGGTCGGAACCCTAGCTGTAACTTGTATATAAACCTCTTCCCTTCTAAGGGAAGGGGGACTTACGTTCTAACTGATATTCCAACTAGCACAATACTATCCTCGGTTTTACTTGACCCCATATTTTGTGCACTCTCGACTTAGTTCGATACTCTTCTGCCTAGTTGCCTAGGCCCCCGGGTTCCATAACCCAACATTGGTGCTCTCGTTGAGAGTGTCGAACACATCAAGCGTGCTCCAAAGAAAATGGTTGCGTCAAGGAGAGTGACCAGGTCGTCTACCGCCAATCTCGGTGATGGTCTCAGGATGACTATAACGGCGCCGACCGGCGCAGGTCCCGATGAGCTGGACACCAGCCTCAATGATGTCGCCAGCCAAAACACCACTGACCTGCGCCACCGCATTCCCAGACGGCGAACGGCGAAGGTCGCGGGGTCTAAGGCACCGATACAGCAGGTGCCCACCCAGGGCGCCGGTGTTTTAACTCAGCCTCCTCCCAACGGGCTGGTCCGTGGGGGAGGCATGGTGTTGCCCGGTGATTTCAACTCACCGTTCTTCCAGTTCGGGGAGACCTCCGGTGCGAGGACCCCAGGTCCAGACCCTAGCGATTTTTGGGCCATGATGAGGGCGATGCTGTTCAATCAACCCATGACCGGTTTCCACATGCCGGTCACGATGCCGCAGCCAACGTTCCGGCCTGACGAACGTCGTGAGGTCCAGCAGAATGCGGTAGAAAGTGCAAAGCTTTTCGCCCAACACCTGAAGAGTCTAATGGCGGACCCTCACCTGAATCCTTTGGCTGGGGGACCCGAGAACAAGGAGCCGAGCCGATCCCAGCAGCGGGACAACGGCAAGGGCCCGGAGCGCAGGCCCAACAAGAAGCAAACCAGCCGTCGAGACAAGGAGACGGCGAGCAAACGCCGTGAACCCCTAAAAGAAGGGCAAGGCGAGAGTGAGTCGCACGTATCTGTGTTCAGCCGGATGCGAGTGCCGGCCACGGAGCGGCTGCATGGCCGACGGAACACTTTCCTGCAGAACGAAGCGGGGAAGATCAGAATGCCCTGCGAAGAACAGTGTGACCGACACAGAGAGGTCCACCCGGAAAGGCAAAATCCCCGGGCCGAGCAACCTATCCAACATCCGATTCTAAGAGCGCCGCAAGGGACGCCCATTGTGATGGATGGGGGCATGAGCAGACCGGGGGACGAACGCATCGATCTCCTCTTGCAGAGGCTGGACGCCCTAGAGAGGAGGAACGGGACAGGACAAATGGCCGAACCCATGTTCAGACTCCGTTCTCCTTTCTCGGAGAGAATCCTAAGAGCACCACTGCCGAGCAGCTTTCAGATGCCGCCCATACCTAGGTATGACGGGACCACAGACCCGCAGGAGCATTTCAACCGATACCAAACCCTCATGAACGTGGTGACGTTCTCCGAGGAAGTCCTTTGTAGGTCATTTCCCGCCACTCTCGACGGGCTGGCGTCTGAGTGGTTCAACGAATTGCCTGAAGGGAAGATCGATTCATGGGAGGATTTGGCACGGAGGTTCCTGGTTCATTTTGCCAGGAACAGGAAAAAGAATTTACATTTTTCACATCTCCTGTCGGTCAGGCAAGACGAGCCACTGAGGGAATTCCTGGCAAGGTGGAAGCTGGAAACCACCAGAGTTTACGGAGCGGATGACAAAACCAGGTTATCTACTTTTCATTTGGTCTTACGGTCAGGTGACTTCTCCAAGCGCGTAGCCCTGGAAAAGCCGAGGGAGTATTCCATCGCGCTGGCCATGGCAGAGGATGAAGCTGAAGCAGAGGAGCTGGAGGCAAACAAGAAAAGGGAAGAGGCAGGAAGACTTGGTTCCATCGCGACTGCGGTGAAGCCCACGCCAAGGAAGGTCACCATCGATGAGCGACCACATTTGCCAGTCGGGCACCGCTTCCGAAAGGGCAGAGACCCTCGCGACCGAAGGTCGCACGGAAAGGATATATATGAAGGAGACAAGGACAGGAGACCCTATCCCCCCAGAGGTCCCAAGTTGTTGTTTCCCGATGAGCTTACGCCGCTTACACATCCCGTAAGCGCCATCCTGGATTTCGCCGAGCATCAGGGCTTGGTGGAGTATGACCCGCGATTCCCTCCGATTTGCACCGTCGGTGAGGGTCCTTACTGCAGGTTTCACAAAGCAGCTGGCCATGACACGGACGCGTGTAAGGTCCTCAAGAGGGAGATCGAGAACCTGATCCAGGCAGGATATTTGCGGCAGTTCGTCAAAAGGAAGAACACGTGGCGCAAGGACGACGGAAAGAAGAGCGAAGACAACCGAGGGAAGAAACCAGCGGGAACTCAGCAGATGAAGAGGAAGGAGATAGGTCTCCCGAGCAACGAGGAAGAAGAAGACAGCCCTAGACAGAAGAGGGTTGAGGAGAGCAGAATGATATACGGTGGCAACACCGGGGGAGACAGTGCCGAGCAAAGGAAGAAGTGGGTACACTCGGCCTATGTCGGGGATGTTCACAGCGCACCTAGACCGTCGAAAATCAAAAAGACAGAACCCCTCCTATTCGGTCCCAAGGACCTACCTGAGATCCCATCGCCCCACAGAGAAGCCTTGGTCGTCAGGTGCGAGATCAACGAGGTAATAATCCACCGATCTTACGTTGATAATGGGAGCTCGGTCAACATCATGTATGTAAGAACATTTGAGGAGCTGGGATTGAAGAAGGAACTCTTGAAGAGAGTAAGGACCCCCTTGTCCGGATTCACAGGAGACATCATCGATTTAGAGGGCCTGATCGAAGTGATGGTTACCTTCGGCGATGGGGAACACAAGAAGACCATCCCGGTCGAATTCATGGTAGTGCGGCTCCTGGGATCCCACAATCTGATCTTGGGTCGGCCTGCACTGGAGGATCTCGATTCCGTAACATCGGTGAAGTATCTAAACATGAAATTCCCTACCGATTCAGGGGTAGGAGTGTGCAGAGGAAACCAAAAGCTTGCCCGACTCTGCTACCAGAAGCAGACAAAGAAGATGGACGCCCAAGATCTCAGGGTGGACAGTATTGCCACGGCACTTTTGAAGGAAGAAGAAGGCCGTCCTCGGGTTGAGCCAGCCGAGGATACGGAAGATGTGGTGATAATGGAGGAGCACCAGGAGAAAAAGATCAAGCTCGGTATTAACATTAGTGCCGAGCTTCGGTCGAAGATCATACAAGTACTCAGGGAGAACTTCGTGGTGTTTGCATGGAGTGTCGAGGATATGCCGGGAGTTAGCAAATCCCTGATCACCCACCGCCTCGCGGTCGGATCGGACGCAGAGCCCATAAAGCAGAGAAGGCGACACTTGAGCAAAGACCGGAGGGATTTCGTAAAGAAGGAAGTGGACATGCTCCAAGCAGCAGGGCATGTCAAGGAGATCAAATACCCCACCTGGCTGGCCAACGTCGTGCTGGCACCGAAGGGGCAGACGTTTAGAATGTGTGTGGATTACACTGACCTAAACCGAGCTTTTCCAATGGATCCCTTCCCTTTTCCCAACATTGATCAGATGATCGACGAAACGGCCAGGTGCGAGGTCATGTCTTTCATGGATGCATTCAGAGGATATCATCAAGTGTTCATGCACGAAGAAGATGCCGAGAAGACGGTGTTTCTCACCCCGGAGGGGGTGTATTGTTATTTGGTGATGGCATTCGGGCTAAAGAACAGCGGAGCCACGTATACAAGGATGGTCAGCCGAGTGTTCCACTCGGTCTTGGGGAAGACGATGGCGGCATATGTGGACGACATGATCGTCAAGAGCAAGCAGTCCTCCGACCATGCGGAGGACCTATCCTAGGTTTTTTCTATTATGCGCAAGTTCAATTTACGTCTTAACCCCAAGAAATGTACATTTGGTGTAGAAGGTGGAAAGTTCCTGGGATACCTCGTGAGCCGACAAGGTATTGAACCCAACCCCGAGAAGGTCAAGGCGATCCTAGACATGGAGGCCCCTCGCTCCATAAAAGAAGTACAGCGCTTGACGGGGAAGATGGCCGCACTTGGAAGATTTTTATCAAAATCCTCCGAGAAAAGCATCCCTTTCTTTGGCACACTGAAGAAGGTTCCACAATTCCAGTGGACATCCGAATGCCAGGCGGCATTCGAGGAATTGAAGAGGTACTTGCTAACTCCGCAGGTGTTGGCTAAGCCGATCAAGGGCGAGAAGCTGTACCTTTACCTGGGCGTCAGCCCCGGAGCCATAAGTTCCGTTTTGCTAAGGGAAGAAGGGGACACTCAACGCCCCATCTATTATGTCAGCAGAACCTTGAAGGATGCCGAGCTCAGGTACTCGGTGGTGGAAAAAACAATCTTGGCCATCGTCAACACGGTCAAGAAGCTGAACCACTACTTCTAAGCTCACGAAGTGGAAGTGAGGAGTCATCAGCCTCTGAGCATCATCATCAGGAATCCGACGGCCTCTAACAGAGTCATCAAGTGGTCTGTCTATCTGAGTCAGTATCAGATAGAGGTGAAGCTGAGGGAAGCAATCAAAGCCCAGGCCCTGGCCGATTTCATGGTGGAATGCACGGCGTGGGACAACAACCCCGTACCGGTGGCGGAGCAGGGAGAGTGGTGGACTTTGTCTACTGATGGATCGTCAGCCGCAAAGGCTTGCGGCGGGGGCGTGGTAATCCAATCACCTGAAGGGTTCCGCTCTTATCATGCAATCAAATTCCAGTTCAAAATGTCCAATAACGAAGCTGAATACGAAGCATTGCTGAGCGGCCTGAGGCTCATCCTCAACCTAAAGGCCGAGTACGTCAGGATCAGGTGCGATTCGCGCCTCAAATCAAGGGGGAGTTCGATACCAAGGAGGAACGGATGCGTCTGTACAAGGAGGCGGCCCTGGAACTGCTCAAAATCCTTAAAGGATACGAGCTCGTGCAGATCCCGAGGGCGGAAAACACCGAGGCCGACGTCCTCTCAAAACTGAGCAACGACAGTCCCGCGCATATCTCCAAGATGGCTCACATTGAAGACTTGGGGTCTCCAAGCATTCACGTTCAGTTCGTCTCTGTTGTCACCAAGGAGGCCAGCGGATGCATCGCGGAATTGATCCAATATAAGAAGGATGGGATCCTCCCGGGTGATGAGACGGCGGCCCGTCTGATCAAACGAAGGGCACCGACGTACGTCATTGAGAATGGCCGGCTATACAAGAGATCATACAACAGCACATTGCTGAGGTGCGTTGACGAAGCCAGAGCGGCGCAGATCATGGAAGAGGTCCACGAAGGAATATGCGCGGCACATCAAGGTCCTTTCTCCATGGCCAGACGCATTGTCCTGCAGGGATACTTCTGGCCGACCATGGTGAAGGACTGCGCCAAACGCGCCAAGCGTTGCAAAGTATGTCAAGTTTTCCAGAATATTCCGGGAAGACCAGGAACCAGCTATCATCCCATCAGCTCGTCGATTCCCTTTGCTCATTGGGGGATAGAATTGATCGGACTGATGCCGAGGGCACCCGGTAATTTCCGTTGGATCATTGTGGCCATTGATTACTTCACCAAGTGGATCGAGGCCGAGCCTTTAGTGGGAGGAACCTCAGATTAATGCTCAAAGTTTGTGAACAACAACATACTCTGCCGGTATGGTGTCCCAAAGCAGGTCACTACAGACAACGGAACCCAATTCGAAGCTGGAGACTTCAACGAACTTTTGGGAGATTGGAAGATAAGGCACACCTACAGCTATGTGGCCTACCCGCAAGGGAACGGCCAAGTAGAAAACGCCAATCGAACGATCATGGACGGGATCAAGAAGAGGCTGGAATCCTACAAGGGAGCGTGGGTAGACCAACTTCCCAATGTGTTGTGGGCATACCGCACCACTCCGAGGAGGGCGACTGGAGAAACGCCGTTTTCCATGTGTTATGGCATGGAAGCAAGAGCACCCTCGGAAGTGTTCATTCCAACATGGAGAGAGAAGAACTATGAAGCCAAGGAGAACGAGGAAACTATGGCGGCCGATCTCAACTTCGTCGAAGAACGCCGAGAGCAAGCTTTCCTCAAAGCAGAGAATTACCGAAGGCAGGTCAAAGAGTACTACGACCGCAAAGTCAGAGCAAGGGAATTCCGAGTAGGGGATTTGGTACTCAAGAAAAGGGAGGCCAGTCAGCCCACAGAAGGGGGAAAGTTTGCCAAAAGCTACGAAGGACCATACAAGGTCACAGCCGTGCTTCGGCCGGGTACCTACAAGCTCTCAACGCTTGAAGGTTGCGAACTCGGCAGGCATTGGAACATGCACAATCTCATTTCTTTTTACATGTAAGGCACTGAGAACCGTAACCAGTCGGCCTCGGTAGCTAAAAAAATCTATTTAATGAAATGCTCGCTTCCACGCGAATTCTATTTTTGCTCTAAGCAATTTATAAACGCTGCTTTGCGATATCGGGCTCCCACGCCACGATTTTATGGCCTCACGCGGTCTTTCGCTATACGCGAACTAAGTCCTTTTGTGCTCCACACATCACGAGAACCGAAATTTAACCGTCTCGCCACTCGGCAATGCCTATTGCCGAGTGTCCCTTCAGGGGGGAGCCCATCCGCACGGTTTAACCCGGGGAATTGGCGCTCTGAACGAGACGAAGAACAAGGTCCGAATGGGCACAACTTGTTAATAGCACAGAGGGCAGCGCAAGGTCCTGCTTAGGACAAAAAACTTGGAATCCTGCTTAGGATGTCTTCCACGACCCCTAGTCCTGCTGAGGACACACCTTTCGCCGCCTTGCTGAGGGCGTTTGCGCAAAAGAACCCTTCGGGGTGTAAAAAAAAAGGAGAAAGGGAGAAAAAGGAAGAACACAGGCAATTTTATTACACGAAATTCGCCCAAAGCGGCAATACATCATAATTCAGGCACAAGAACATGAAGCGTTATTTCCCGAATGGTCAAAGTACACATTTATCTCTTCAGAAAATGAAGAGTCTACGGAGGAAGCATCATGATCAGACACAAACTGCGCTTTGAGGTTGGCACTGGTTGTTTTCTTCCGGTGGGCACGACGAAAGCCTGCGAGATAAGCACGCACGTTCGTCCCCACCTTGCGCACCAAGCGGCCAGACTTCTGTGAAACCTCCGTTGCGGCGGATTCTTGGCAGAAAGGACTCTGGACAGAATCCTCACTCAAAGAAGATAGATCGGGGTCGGCACATTTCCCCACCGCAGTCGGAGCAGTGGGAGAACTGGGCAAGAGCGAGTCTGCCATGAGGAAAGAACAGGGTGGAGTAGCCCGGATGAAGGACGTTCCCTCTTCAAGAGAAGGAGTACCAGGGCTTAACGCCATATTGCAAAAAAAAAAAAAGAGAGACGCAAACAAAGAAGGGAACAAGGCATCCTATTTATAATCACCAACAGGGCACTTATTACAAAGGCGTTCATTGCACAAAGAGTCAAAATCCATTACAAAAGGTATTCTTGAAAACCACAACACTTATTACAAGCCTTACACGCCACGGTTGCAACACCGGCGGTATTTATTACACGACAGAACTGAGAAAGGAAAAGAACAGAATGCTCTCTACCTACCCATGAATTCGTGTCTTGAAATCCATAGGTAGGTAGACACGCCCCGGGCCCAATGACTTCAGGACGAACAAAGACCGGGCGCCGAATGACGTGGATGGCCCCCCCAATTCGGCAAACCTCCATTGGAAGATATACAGAAAAGGGGCATGGAAGAGATATCTAGGAAGAGCCGACGGACTCTTCCGGGTGATTATCACCCGCGGGGATGGCATCAACAGCCGGCTGAACAGGCTCAACCGAAGACGCTGCCTGTTGGGGAACCCCATGAAGGTAATTCACGAGCTTTCGGAGACGTTTAATACGCCTCTCCAACTTCTTTGCGCGGTACCACCATGAACTCGTACGAGATTCGGCATCCTCCGGCGGAGGAGGATGGCAGCAATTGGTCTCCTTCTGGGAAGGCCGAGGACCTATCTCCATGGAATTATTGGAAGCCATGAAAAGATTAACAAAAGGGATGAAGAGATGGACTTCACAATGCAAGGAGAGGGCCAATTTATAGGCCCATGAACGAAGGGATAAGGGAGTCAAACAGTCGCAGTGGTTGGAAGTGGAACTGTGCGTAGTGACACGTGTTTGGCGCAGTGTGACGGTCCAGTGGTTAGGTCTGTTTGCGTGGGAAAGCCAAAGAGTCAGTTCCTCAAAAGGCGCAATTCAAATATATTCAAATAAATAATGTCAGAGATCTACTCAACTATTCACGCATGCAGCAAAACAGTGATCAAATCTTCATTACAATAAGGGATAAAATTTCAAATATTACAAGGAAAACACTAAGGAAGAGCATTTGAGGGTTGCTCATCGTCGGCATCATCCGCGCCCATGTCCTCGTGATCGGGCGTCCCAAGGTAGTCTGGATTCTCCCCGAGCTCGGCGTTCAAGTTGGGATCGTGCATCTCTGGAATGTCGACCCCAAGCGGAGGGAAGGACGGATCTACTCTTCTGGTACGGCGAAGGACGAGCTGAATCCCGTGATAGACGCCGCTCTCAAACCACTTCGTCCCTTCCACCCCCATCTTCTCAGTCCCGGCCTCGGTCTCGAGCCAGTCTTCGTAATAAGCGGCCATTTTCTCCAAACAGGCTTCTTTGAAGGATGGGGACTGGAGGAAGTCGGAGAGGGCACGCTCCTTCTCAGCAACAGCTTGCTCTTTCTTGGCAAGAAGCTGATCCCGCTCTGCTTCCACTGACCGCTGCGCGGAGACAGCTTCGGCCAGTTCAACATCCAGCTCGGAAATCCGACCTTCAAACTGCCGCAGTCACCCCTCGAGCTCGGCCATTGAAGCCGTCAGTTGGGAGGCTGATTCCTCCGACTCCTTCAGAAGGCCCTGCAGCCGGACCACTTCCTCAGACTTCGCCACGGCTTGCATTTCAAGCTCGGCGGCTTGTTCGTGCTCGGTCTCCGCCAATTTCCTTAGGCGGGACAACTCTGTTTCCACCGAGGCCAAATAATCCACGCCTGAGGAGAATTCACCCCCGGCTCGGTGATTGCTGATGGAGCTCAATTTCGCCGATACCTAAAAGCAGATCAAGTCAGTCGCCCACGTAAATGAAAGGAAAAATTAAGGTACTAGAAGGCTAACCTTTTTGTGGAATCCATCCACCAACCCCTGCAAGGACGCGAGGATCTCGTCTTCATCTTTCAGCACCGCGGACAGAGATGCGACCTCGGTCTCGGCATTTGCATCCCCATCAACCTTGTCGAAGGAAGTGGGGCATTTCCCATCCTGAGGACCAGTCGGCCGTTTGCTCAATGGAAGCTGACTTGGAACCGTATCCTGCTCGGACGCGGTATCTTCATCCTCAACTTGGATGACCTTCCGTTTCCTCAGGTTCCGAGCCGGAACTATCTCCAAGTTCGGGGCGGAAGCAACGGATCCAGATGCATCCTCGGATGGTGGTTTCGGCTGAACCCCTTCTCCTCTACTGCGAGTCCGGGCCAGCAGCTTGGCCTTGCGGATAACATCTACAGGATTCATATCTCCTGCCAGAACAAAATAGCGGTTAGAAAATATAGCACCAAACAGGAGAACCTTGATATAAGGGACAGACCTCCTAGCGGGCTCCATACCAGCAAATCCCTCGGAATAGGATGGCTACCCTGACTCCTCGTCAGTTTCGGCCTCCCCGTCATCTTCCTCTTCGTGGTCATCCGACTCTAAATCTTCCGACCTCGGGGCGCTCTCTTCAAGCCCATGCTTAGGGCGACCCCCAAGCACGGCCTCGGTTAGCTCGAACTGATGCTCGAAGGAGATAAGGATCCCCACCTCCGCTAAGTTTTGCTCCGTACACACCGTGTACACGTGAGGTGGTTTAGGCCGACAGTCTTCCAAAAGTTTTTGCGCGTGCGCTTGAAGCTCGGGAGTGGCCGGAGGCCGAGGATGACGAATAAACGTATGACAGTCGGGAAACCTGGCGTGGAAAGGGTGCCGGTCCCCGGGAAAGCCAGAAATGAAGACAAACTTGGCCTTCCAAAGTTTCAAGGATGAGGGGAAGACGGCCATACCAAGCTCGGCCTGAGAAGAAACAACGGCATACGAATTCCCTTCATGGGCCCCCACTTTGGAAACTTTGAACATGTAACGGAACAAGTCTAGAGACCAGGGGACTCCCCTCTGGTGACACTTAATCAGGAAAATTGAGAAACAATAGTAGGAGTGGGGACTGAGCTGACCCGGTAGAAGACGGTAGAAATTCAGGAATTAGACTATCAGATCGTGAGGAGGGAAGCGAAGGCCGTAGCGCATGGACGCCACGTGCACCCCGACCTCGGCGTCAGGGCAGGTCACCGAGAAGACATGGTTGGTTGTGTGCGGTCGCCGCACCACGTAACCGTCTCCCACAAAGCGGATGGCCTAGTCAAAATCGACATCCAACAGAAGACAACCCGTATTCATAATCGGACCCGTTTCCAGCACGGTAACGGGTAAGGATTTCAGGTTCTTTCCCCTGACAACTTTCGATTTCTTCTTCTTCTACAAAGGCGGTGCCTGAGACGACGACGCCACGGTGATGGACGTACGGAGAGGCACCGCGCTCAAAACCCTAGAGTGGTCAATTCCTCCCATCAAGCCGTCAGGGCGGAGGGAGGGATCTTGACAGTACATTTCTTCAAAACAAACCGCCGCTGGGTCGACAGCGGGAGTGGAAGGGTTGAAATCAGAAGACGCCATGAGAACGGGGAAGAGGGAACTAACCTCAAGTTGGGCTACGACGGCGACGGAAGCGAACGGAGATGGTGAACGAACTCAGTGGCAAAGCTGTGGCGCAAAAATGGCAAAGTGGAGAAGATCGGGAAAATTCTCACTTTTATACGTTAAAGGGACCCGACCCGGATCGATGAAAAGTCACGATTACGAAGAGACGTGGCGCTTCCTTACGCGTACGATCACGAATCATCATGAACGGCTAACAAAGGAACAGTACAGAGACGTTGCGTCTCCCAAGCAGTACAATCATACTCCTCAGAATCGAGGGGACACTAGTAAATCTGGCCAGTTGGACACTCCCCAACCCTTGTCAGTATTCGAGTTGGGGAGCGGGGGACTCCTACACATGGCCAACATTTTCAAAATTTAACTCAAAAATTCAAAATCCCAACTGTTGGAATTACTTCCCTCGGCTTCGCCACGCTCGGCCAAGGAAGTAGGGGACTCATGATGGATACCCGGGAATGGGGGGTATCCAGCCCAACAGAAAGAAGGCCCAGCCCAACTGCGTCAAGGCCCACTTAGCGGGACCAAGACAAGAGACCAGCGAAGAGCGCCTCGGCAATACCATGCACTCGGCCCCGGCAGGGTCGGTCATCCTCGGAGCGACCACGTCTGGCCTTCCATCCAGAGGTTTCCGAAGAGAGGTCAGGCGCTCGGCCTCGGCCATGAACAGCGGCAGACCAGACATAGACAAGGGAGCTGGCTAAAGTCAGGATCAATGGGCCCACGATTAGACCCCTGCCATGCCTCAGGCATAGTTGCTATAGCCACCCTACTTGTAACCTACTTTCTGTAGCAGTCCTAGGGTTAATTATGTGGTTGGACGCCGCCAGTGAACAATCCAATATTAGTGGGCCCAGATCGTTGGATTACGGACCAACAGTCGGAACCCTAGCTGTAACTTGTATATAAACCTCTTCCCTTCTAAGGGAAGGGGGACTTACGTTCTAACTGATATTCCAACTAGCACAATACTATCCTCGGTTTTACTTGACCCCATATTTTGTGCACTCTCGACTTAGTTCGATACTCTTCTGCCTAGTTGCCTAGGCCCCCGGGTTCCATAACCCAACAACACCATTGACAAATCTTCAAAGAAAAAGTGTAGTTTTAACTGTTTGCTAATGCCTAATGGTTCACTCAAAGTGCTGGTTCAGCAATGAAAAGTGCACATCTACTCCCTTATTTCATCATCCTCTCCCTCTACTGCGCTGCCTCTTGCCGAATCCCGCCACAACAGAACAAGTGTGGTAATTTCACTCTGCCACAAACCCTACTAAATTACATAATGTGTTTGAGAGTTTATAGGCATACTTCGAAGTAGGGGTGAGTTTTGGATACATATCACCTTCTCCAAACCCTACTTTCGTGGGGTTTTACTGGGATTGTCGTTCTTTTTTATGGCAGTGGGCATTCAAGTTTGGGTGCAATGAGATATTGAAAGTACTTATCAGAGGTTGAGGTTTCAATGCCTTTGGTCCATTTCGTATCCCCACTCTTGTGACGAATAACCTGCGATTCATTGGCAATAACTTTGGAGTAAGTCTGGTGACGAGTAACCTGCTTTAGCAATTTGAAAAGGTTATGTAATTGTACTTTTAGCGTGTTCAAAATTAATTGTGATGTTAAGGAAGTTGTTAGAGGATGAAGCTTCTTTTTACTTTTTTAAGGACGGCCATTAGTTCCATAGACCCATTGAAGAAAGTGATATCTTGGAATCTGTAAGCAATGTTCCCTTCAATCCTTTCCTGATTTTCAGAGCCATTACATCAAATAATACAAATAGGCGATTATTAGATTCATTACAGACCTGTAATGTGGTAGGACTGAGAAGTAGACAGCTGTGAGTAACGGTCACCCTTTTACCCAACTACAGGGACTGAGCAAACCTTTATGGATGTTTGTGCAAAGTTTTTGTAGCCCAAGGATGAATTCTGGCCAGATTTTGAGTCTAAAAATCTATAGGACATCGTACACCTCTCATTTTTTAGTTTCAAACAGAATTGCAAAGACGTAAAAAACAGGCCATAATTTAAAACTGCTAAAAAAATGTATTCTTTATAGTCACAAGGTTTCAAGTTATTATGCAGAATGTTCAAAGGAAGTAATTTGAGCAGAATACACATCTGAATTTGAGCACTCTTGAATACATGGAATTTTAATTACGTGAAGAATAATTTACCAAACTGTTGCAGGTTCAGCCCTAGGTCAAAAATGACCCTTCGTTCAGTAAAAGAAAGAAACAACAAAGAGAAGAACAAGCCAAAGAACTCATAAGATTATACCTAGGAGGAATCCCTGAGATGGTGTCTCATCCCATCTCGCAAAATTGAATATAAATAGCCCAACGTACACGCTGAAATAATAGGCTGGGGATTATTAAGGGAAGGATCCATTAACTCAAGACGAGCAATCAGAGAAAACGTTTCAATCATACCGGGAAATCTGCACATCTGATAAGCAACGCCTAGAATCTAGAAATCTGAGGTTGATAGTATTTAGAACCACAACAATTTGATAGTATTTAGAACCACAACAAAAAACTAGACAGTAAAACGCAATTGCCTTAACTCAAAACACGACCTAGAGTCTAACCTAAAAATTAAAATCCAACGGATTGTAACGCAAATTTGATTGTCAAACACTAAAGTTAAAAGTCAACCTAGAACCTAACCCAAAGCCAAACCCAAAATCAGGTCCAATCCCCAAAGTAAGAAACAAAATCCCTACCCAGAACCTAACCCAACAACCAATTGCAGGGGTGCATTAAGCTATTCCCATGTTTAAAAATTGTGAATAAGTACAGAAGGAATGAACATGGCATTAACAGGCTTTAAGAATGAAGAACAACCATTGTGTCTGGCGTTTGACAGGGTAAATATAGCCGCTTTAGTGGAATTTGAATGTCACATGGCCTTAAGCACCTATTTGTAATAGCCAATTTAGTTCATATTAAGACAATTCTTTTTTGGGAGATATCCGAAAAAAAGAGGAAAACCAATACCGGTACATGGTGAAATTTCCATTTTGTTGATCGGTGGAGGCGTTGAAATTTCCATTTTGTTGAAAGTACCGCCAAGTTCCAGCCAACAGAGAAGACTCGGCATGAACCCTGTCATCAAATAGGACATGAAAGAGGTTAATAAATAGGAAAATCTCTTACCAAGGTGAATATTGTCAAATTGACTCTCCAGCCAAGTATATATGTAATATTTTTTGTTATTGTGTTGTGTTTAAGTTTTAAAGTGGTGGAACTCATCTACTAAAAAATAAATTTTCTACTACGTTTCTTGACATTTTGGCTAAGATCATCAAAAAGGTCTAAGGGATCCTAGTGAGACTGTTACACAATTAAATGTTTTAGTCTACAAAAACATTATCTATATACATACATATATATATATATATATTTTATTTTAATTTTTTAAGGAAAAGAGTTTTTTTATTTAAAGCAGATAAAAGAAGTTGTTACATCACACTTTATGGCTCCCCTCAATGAGCCGCCGAGTTTGCTTCTCTGTAGATGTGATTGACCCGTCCTTCAGATCGGTTTATCATATCTCTTGTCAATTTTGTGAAAAAGTCATTATTTGTGGGAAGATTAAGTTTGTTTGCACATGCCTTGGAGTCAATGAAAAGGTTGACTGGACAATTGAGGAAAATGCTTCTTCTCACTCCTTCGTATGCAGCTTCCATTTCTGTCTCTTCCGATGTGAGGTTGGCCGGAGGGGGAACGTCCAAGCGCAGAGGAATTGGCCGAGGCTTGTTCGCAGTATGCTTGCTCCTGATGATCTTCCTTCTCTGATTGCTGCATCTGTCGTCAGCGTTACACCATTGGAAGGAAATTGCCAGTGATGAACTGAGATTGCTCCCATCCTTATTGGAGGTAACCTTTCAGAAATTCTGATTTCCATATCAATTTTTCCTTTGTGATGGATTACAATCCATTCAAAGATCTGTTTTGTGATGATTGTGATAATCTGTGAATTGTTGTGTTCTTCCTCCTCTTGAGTTCTTCTGTTCCTTTCTTTCCATATCTCATGTATTATAATGCCTGGGATAATATTGAAGACTGTCTTGTGATGCCTTTGCAAGTTTCCTTGTTTCCATCAGTTTGTTAAGTAGGTTAGAATTCCATGGCTTGTGTTCCTGCAAACTGAGAAAGCCTCTTCAAAATAGATCCAGATTTGTTTGCTAAATGGACAATTCTTGAAAAGGTGATTGGTTGTTTCCTCGCTGTTCCTGCATAAAAAACAAATAGAAGGGAGATGGAATCCCATTCTAGTTAGTAAATGGGGGAGGGGGCTGTAGCCAAAGCATAATTTCCAGAGGAATATTGAGTGTTTAGGGCTCTGTTTGGAGTTCCAGGATAGTTTAGTGAATGGGTGGGTGTGGTTTTTCTCTCTCAATGAATTCTTTGCCTTCTTCATGCTGAAACCAACATCTCCATTCATCCAAATACCTCTGCCCTGGTTGTCTAAACTGAGGTGATTATCTGCCAAGTTGTCAACCTCAATGAGTCTTTTCCAGTAAATAGAATCAGGGATTTTGGGGGCTATGTTGAGGCCTCTAGGATATCTGGCCCTCATGAACTTAGCCCACAAAGAGTTATTTTGATTGTAGGTCCACCACATCTTGAACCCATAAGCTTGCTGAAGAGTGTTAAGATTGGTAATACCCAGACCCCCCTCATCCTGAGGGTAGCAGAGTTTCTCCCAGGAGGACCAATGGTATTTGTCTTGGCCCCATAGGAAGTTATTCATTTTGGAGTGGAGGCAGTTGATGATGCTCTTTGGAAGTTTGCTGCATCCCAGCATATGGAGTGGCAAGGTGTTTAGGACATGCTTGATTAGGGTAAGTCTGCCACTTTGGCTTAGGAGTTTATGGTACCATCCTTTAAGTTTGATGTCAAAGAGGTTTAGGGGGTCATGGCAGTAGCTCTTTCAATTGATTCCTTGATGAATTTGGATTCCCAAGTATTTGAAGGGCAGGCTGCCCTTGTTCATGCCCAGAGAGTGTTGTATTTTCCTTTGGGTAGCTAGGGGGGTCTTTTTAGGAGTGTAAAAAGAACATTTACCACGATTGATTTGCTGTCCTGAGCAGTCTTCATTCATAGTCTGAAAGAAGCTGCTTGATGTTGGAGATATTTTGAGAGTCCCCTTTGGTGAAGAGGATTAGGTCATCAGCAAATGCAAGGTGGGTAATAGGGATGTAGTGTCTGCCAAGGTAGTAGGGGGAGAGAGAGCCATTTTCTGTTTCCATCTTGATGGTCCTGCTGAAGGCCTCTGAAACTAAGATGAAAAGTAGAGGAGAAAGAGGATCTCCTTGTTTCAATCCCCTGTGAGGTATAAACCCTTTAGTGTGGTGTCCATTGATCAAAATGGTGAAGAAGGAACTTTGGAGGAGGTTTTGGACCAGGGTTGTGAAGTGTCTGTTGAAGCCAAACTTGTCCAGGACAGTGAGGAGAAATTTCCAAGATATTCTGTCAAATGCCTTGGACATGTCCAGTTTAATGGCCAAGTTTCCCCCTCTAGTTTTATAGTCCAGGCCATGGAAAAGTTCTTGGGCTAGGAGAACTTGGTCATGTATCACCCTTCCTTTGAGAAAACCCCCTTGCTCTTGAGATATCAAATTAGGAAGAATTGCGCTAATTCTTTGGGCTAGAATTTTGGAGAAAAGTTTGCAGCAGAAGTTAGACAGACAGATTGGTCTGAAATCTTCACAAGTTTGAGAGTTTTCTTTCTTAGGAACAAGGATGAGGGTAGATTGGGCACAGTTTCTAGGAATAGAGATTCCTAGAAAGAATTCCTGAACAGCTTTGGTGCAGTC